TAATAATGGGGTTTTCAAAGTCGTAATACTCCGTCCAGTAGACGCAGAGCTGCTGGTAGCCCGTAACTAACTCCAAGACGGTCTTGAATCCCTGGGCCATGTTGAAAGAGGTTCTTCCGCTCCCACTTTCCCAGGCATGGATGGTCAGCAGCTCCAGCGCGTACTGCGGTGGCAGGGGACCCTCAAGCTCCTCCTTGCACTGAGAGGAGGAAAAACCATCAGGAAAGCAGGGCTGCCTAGATTCAGTGTAAAATCTGTTTGTCGTGGGCTAAGTCAGCCTGCGACAACCTATTTTTATAAATAACGTTTTCTTGGCCCAGAGCCAAGCCCATTCATTTATAGGTCATCTGTGGCTGTTTTCACACTACAGCAGCAGAGATGAACAGCTGTGACAGACACTATGCGACCCACAAAGTCTAAAGTACCTACTGCTTACCCTTTTAGGGCACTGGGATGACCTGCTGAAGAGTTTGAGTTCTGGAATTTTTTTTCAATACTGAAGATCCAGCACAGGGTCTTCCCACTGAACCCAGGTCATTTTAAAAATCTGAGAGCCAGGGGGATAGCTCAGTGGCACAAGCACCTTCCTAGCAAGTGCACAGTCCTCAGTTTGATTCCTGGTACCAAAAAATTAATAAATAAAAATTCAAAATTGGGTCTCCCAAGCTGCCTAGATTTGGTTTGAATTTGTGATCTTCCTGCCTCAGCCTCCTAGAGTGCTGGGGTTACAGGTGTGCTCTGTCACACTTTGCCAGTTCTGTATTTTTCCTAATGTGGGTTTAAATCCTGGCTTTACTATTGTCTGATGGTGGGCTGAGGACTTAACAGTCTGAGAGCCTCATTTTATTTCTCAACAACAGTTTTAAGAACAATGACCAGGCCCATAAGGAAATAAGACACCAAGGGCAGTGACCAGCAGAAAAAAAAAATAGTAAAAAAATCTACCAAAAGCTTTTAATATGGATTGATTAAACACATTTTAAAGTAAGGGCATCATGTGGAATATGATGGAATATGGGTTTGAAAGGAATATGGGTTTGAAATAGCACAAAGGAATATGGGTTTGAAATAGCACAAATTAAATGCCATAAAGAATAACATGGCAGACTTGATAAAGAATAAAATAGAAATCCTAGGATTAAAAATGACAATTGTAACTAACAGCTCAATAGGAAATTAGATGCAGCTAAAGAGAAAATTGGTTCATCAGAAGGTAGAGTGGGAGAAATCATTCACAGTGAAGCATGGAAATCCCTCCATCTCCTTCCCCTTCCTTCTCTCTCAGGCAACATCCCCCCCTCACCTCCCTCTCCAGATCTCCTCCTCTCTCTCCTCTTCCCTTCTTCTACTTCCCTCCCATCTCACCTCCCCTGCTCCCCATCTAGATGGGCCCGTGGTCCCCGAGAGGCGGAGGTGGCCTTACCAGCTGGTACCAGTGCTTGACGAGGCGGATGAGGCTCTTCACCTTGGTTGGCCTCTGCTTCACAAAGGCTCTCTGGAGCTCGGTGAAGCAGGTGGAGAACTCGCCCTCTGTCTGCTTGGAGGTGCACTCATGGATGAGCCTGATGTAGACTTCGGGATCTGGTCTATAGGCTTTGGTGACCTGACCTGTTAGGGTGGAAGTCGTAAGTAGATGTCAGCCCTTCTCTGAGGTTCTTCCATCCCTCTGGGGGCGGCGGTTCGCTGATTGTGAGGTGCAGTGGAGGGGCAGGAGTTTCGACGGCAGTCAGTATCACTCCAGGAGTGGTCGTGTGCTATGTCACAGGTTGGGCTATGAACAGTTGGAAATATTCTATAAGAAGTTTCTTTGCTCCCAGGTTGGGTTCATCTGCCATTTTACATCCCCTTGTATGCATTATGACCTTATTCCGTTTCAGGAGAAATTCTAAAATCTCCCTACCTTCCATGGCTCTGAAATGATAGGATGTTTGGGCAAAGCTCAAACTATAGATTTCAGCCCAGAAGCAGAAGAGAGGGAAAGAGGCCGGGTTAGAGGCGGAAGGCCCCAGGGGCCGGGGATGCTCACCCAGTGCGTCGAAGGCGGGCAGCACGTCAAACTCCACCGTCCTCCCTGGGAACCACGGGGAACTCAGCTCAAAGCTGAGCACGCGGGGGTTGGACCATCGTGAATTCTGGGATTTAAACGTCACGTGAAATGTTTCTTGTGAGTTACATGTTTGATATTCTTCCAGTTGTTTCCTAATCTCCGTGATGAACTCTGCCCGGCATGATATCTGCTCCTGAAAACTGCCGAGGTTTGTGAAGAAAACGACCAGGTCAGCGTCAGACCGTCCTCTAAGGGTCGTGCCTTTCCCGGAGGAGCCACCCTAGGAAAGACATCAAGAGCAAGGGATACTTAGTGAGAACTCCCTAAATACACTGCTAAGCACGATCGCTAGCGCTTGAGCACCGCACTGTCCCAGGGGCCTCACACATCTTCCTTTCTGCCCTGCTGCCCTTGAGTCTAGGACTGCGGCACTGTTATTATCGCCTGGGCAGCGACACTTCAGCTTGTTGTCCACTCAGCCGCCCGCCCCGTCAGGCAAAACTGGGCTCACCTTCACCGCCTTGGACACCCGCACAGGGTGGCGGGCACCTCGGAAACATCTTTCCTTCAGGAATTCGCAGATCATGTTGATGGCATGTTTGACCTCTGTGCGGAAAGCGGTGTCAGGCAGGAGATGGTCTTCGATGAACTTGTCCAGCTCCTTGGGGGCGGTGTTTCCGAGGGCCATCGCGGTGGTCAGGAGGACCGGGGCCGTCGTGTCTGCAGCGGCTGCAGAAGCGCCTCTGGGGACGGCCAGGCTGGCTCTATTCCACAGGTAGAGCCGGCAGCTGTCAGTTTCGTTTCCTTGGGGGCGGGGCTGGATCTCTTCCACAGGTGGAGCCGAGGCTGTCAGTTTCGTTTCCTTGGGAGGGAGGAGCTTGGCGGTGCCGCTGGCGATCAGCCCGGCCCTCACTGGGACCCAGAGTCTTGGGGCCTTTCTCACTTCCGTACTCTGAGGTGCTGTTTTTAATCCGCTCCAGAATAAATTTTACTTAAAAATAGGCTTTGGGTTTCTTTCTTCTTTTTTTTTTTTTCTTGAAAAAATTGTTTCATAATGTCCTGTGATTTTTAGCAGCGAAGTGTGCCACGTTTCAAAAAGACCAAAAAGGAACTCAGAAAAATCAGGAAATTGAAAGATCAGCTAGGGTCCTAAAACCCCAAACTGTCTACCATGGCAGATATTTGGTATGAAGCGCTTCAGAGGTTTTTCTGTGTTAACATTCACACCACACACATGAACGAGTTCTCTTTTCTTTTTTAAAAAATGATATCAAGCCAGGTGTGGAGGCATATGCCTGTAATCCCAGCACTTTGGAGGCTGAGGCAGGAGGATCACCATGAGTTCGAGGGCAGCCTGGACTACATAGCAAGACCCTGCCTCAAAAAAAAAAAAAAAAAAAAAATGGAATCACACTACATAGTTCCCCTTTTAATTAATAGACTTTATTTCTTAAGCAGTTTTAGGTCTACAGATAATTAAGCAGAAAATACAGAATTCCCATAAACCCCTCTTCTTCTACCCATAACTCCCCACCACCATCATCATTATTATTTTGTTCAAATCCAGCAAACACGGCACTCCTGAAGACACTCCCAGGTTCCTGTATTATTAACATTGCAGTGGTAAGTTTGTTGCAATTGACCAATCGATATTAACATGTTATCATTTGTTTTTTATTTTGGGACAAAGCCGCCCTAAGTGGCCCAGGCTATCCTCAAACTGACCATCTTCCTGCCTCAGCCTCCCAAATGGCTGAGATCGAAGGTGTGCAGCACCAGCCCTGGCTGCTTTCACAAATATTTATGGGTTGTTTTAAATTTTTCACTTTATTCAAAATAATTTTACATCTCTCTCGAGACTGCTTCTTTGCCCCATGTGTTGTTTTGACATGTGTTATTTACTCTTGATGTATTTTGGAATTTTCTAGCTATCTTTCATTTACTATTTCTTATTTAATTCTACTGCTGCAAAAAGTATTCTTTGAGTGACATCTCTTATTTTAAATTTGTTAAGGTTGTTAATTGGTACTCTCCACTTCTGCTCTGTAATGGGCTGACATATTTTGGGCAAAATGTCACCATGCAAAACTCTCTTCCCTTAATAGCTGGAGTGTATGTTTGTTGAAGGTTTGTTCTGCTCCCCGATGTCGTTACGGCAACTGTAGTTGTTAATGAAACTTACACTTTTCAGTACATCTATAGGATACGGCTACACATGAGTGTAAAAGAGAAACAGCCCTGCATTTTTTTATACATACAGTAAAGGCAAATTCCACAAATCACTGTGGAGAATAAGAATGTGAAAAATAAAGCTGTACAAGATTGAGGAAATGATTGGAAAGCTCTAGTTCTGCCCAGGGTTATGTCTTCATACGTTGGCACGTGGCTTTAAGTTATTTTTCCCTTTAAACGAGCAGAAGCAGGAAGTCATAGAGGTAACGTTCTTGTGTTATTGGAGAAAGTTACTACAAGAGTGGGTGGGGCATCTGCGCTCGGACTAAGGTCTCAGTCTTCATTGAATGATTGGGAAACGGGCACATTTGTGGCTCTGACAGTTAAGTTGGAGAATTACAACATTTCATGTCCTACCCATGAAGTCCAAGGACAAGGGAGGGGAAGGAAGTGATTTGCTCAAGGTCATGCAACGAAGCTGGACCAGAGACAAGCAAATGTGACCTTCCTGTGTTTTCACGGGGCCTGGCCCATCATTTAACTTCATGAAGCCAACGCCCCTGGTGAGTCTCACGGGACAGAGGGGGAGCCAGCTCAGAAGCCTTCCGACGGTGTTTAATCCACTTGGCCTCATGCCAGGCATGGTTGGGTTTGAATAGCTTTCCTTAGGAACTGCCAATCCAATGACCTGCCCGCTCCCTGGTGCCCCTTTGTCAGTCCTGCCGGGGGGCCAGAGCTGACATCTCTCTGTTGCCTTTAACTCCTGCTCCCGGTAAGCTGCATGCCCGGTGGCACCAGCTGGAGACTCAGCTCCCATCTGTGCAAGACCTGAAGATCTGTGTTCTGTTTCTCTGGAGCCCCTGCCTTTCCTAGCTCCGATATCCCTGGTGCATCACCAGCGCCACCTCCAGAGTACTGCTCCTGCTGTGTGCTCCTGAGGCGGCCCAAACAGAGGGCCAGCAAATCGGAGGTCGTTTATCAAGGCCACACTGTGTGTCCGGGACTCTGCACGTACTACACATTTGAAATCTCTCAGTAAATCTCGCAAGTGTTTATTGTTGTCCCCGTTTTTCCAGATGAGGAAAGTGAGACTCGGAGACATGAAATGACCTGGCCCACTGAATGTGATCAGAAGGTGGTGTGATTTTAAAGCCACTAGCTCTGCCTTCTGGGCTGAGGTTCTGGTGGACGGAGACTGGGTCTCTACCACAGAGTCCAATGTCATCAATATCCTGGTCGCTGGACCCCTTCTAGCACAAGGCTACTTCCGTCTGTGAAATATTGAATATCTGGGTCTCTGAGGGGGCAGTCTATGAGATCCCCCCAGCTCAAGAACACTGCACCCGCGACTTCCACACACTCATGGAAGGGGCTCCTGATTTGACTGGCAGAAAGGTGGCTGGATGAAGAGGTCTCTAAGGTTATGCAGGGATTTTCCCATAGGAGCCCCTGATAACAGGTCATCCTCGGATTTGATAACCAGTCCATTCAGGTTATAACTGAGCATGGTACCCGAATGGTCAGCTGCTGTCCCAAAGTCAGCTTGTCAGCCTCTGGCATCAGCAAGGCAGTGACAGCAAGTGTCCTGAAGCATGGAGGACACCCCAGGGCCACAGAGTCGCACTGTTCTGACAAGTGTGCCCCCAGCTGATGTCAGGATCCCCAGATCTGAATGAAGACCCCCCCATGGCCATTCCCTTCCATTCATGGGCATTTAGCAAGAAAGGCTTGGTTCTATCTGGCAGTCCCAAGGCTACAGCCTGTGTCGAGGTTTCTTTGATCGGTTTAAATGTTCTTTTCTGGTCAGCTTCCCAGTGGAGGGGCTCTCCCCCCGCTTTATGGCTTCATAGAGGGGCTTAGCCATGAGTGAAAAATTTGGGATCCAGATATGAGAACCCCATTGCCCCCAGACACACTCTTATTTGGGACCAGGTGGTTGGGGTTGGGAGGGCTCAGATAGCCTGCTTTTGCTCTGTGGCTAATTGGTGCTCCCTCCGGTCGCTATGAAGCCTAGGTATCTGGCCCCTTGCTGGTAAATCTGTGTCTTTCTCTTGGATGCCTTGTAGCCAGCCCTCCGAAGCAGATGAAGGAGGTCCTTGAGAAGCGAGTTGCTTGAATCGGGCCCTGGCTCAGTTCTATGATTTCTTCGAACTTCAACAATACCTGATTCCACAACCACTGGGACTTTTCCTGGGGCGGGGTGGAGGGAGGGGTGAGGATGTACCTCCCTGCTCACTGGACATCCACAGAAAGTACTCTGTGTAGAAACTAGCAAGGAAAACTGCAGACTACGGTTTGCCTGGATAGTCCTACTTTATTGTTGGCTACATCAGCACAAAGAAAGGCGGTGGGCGGCTGGCATGCACCAGGGGTTGTGAATGTCCTAGGCAGGAGGCGCTTGCATGTGTCCGGGACGGTGTGTGCCCCGGCCAGGGGCACGGCACGCTTGGGCATGCTCACTGCAGCGCCAACACCAGCGTCAGGCTCGGGTGACACAGCCGGCATGCATTCTCCTAAGGGGGGACCATGGCAGAGGGGAGGCTGAGCGAATGCCACAGGGCACTAAAGGGAAAAGTCAGGGCCACAGGGAAAGATGTTGGCCAGGAAGCTGTTGGGGAAGGCGAAGAGCTTGATATTTATAAAATGATTGTTTAAAGGCAAGAACCAAGTCCTCCAATAAGTTGTGCAGGGAGCTGAGGACAGAGGGCATTGAAAGGGGGCAGTTAGAAGGCGTGAGTTTGGGGTAACAGCTTCTGTAGGGGTCCGACAGCTTCTAGAGCGTGTGGCAGGGGCCTGGGACGAGCTGTGATGATTTTCACAAGGAAAGACCTATTCGAAGTTGGGAAAAACAACGCCCTCTTAGGGGGAACGGAGGATGGCCTGACCTCAACCTCAAATCACGTTCTTCTTGACTCAGGATGGACCAAAAGCCTTTGGCATCAGGGCTTGGCCCTTTTTAAAGTTTTATACCCGTGATGTTATTTGATGCCCCTGGGGAACTTGGAAAAGAGAGTGCAAGACACAGAGAGATGGACAGAGAGACGGGGAGACTTTCTGCAAGAGACAGGGTACCCGAGGAAGGACACAGAGTCCCAGCATGAAGGGAGTTGTTGTTCTTTTAACGGAGAGGCTTTGGCGGAGCCCCTTGGACCCACAGCTCTGTCTTCTTCCCAGGGCCCACCAGCAGACCGGGCCTGGCAGAGTTTCTCTAGGGGGCATCCACCAGCTTGCAGGGTGCTGCCACGCGCAGGGCTGTGCCCACAGCCTGCCCGAGCCCAAGGCCATCTGGCCACGCAGACAGCGGCGGTGTTGAGTTTAAGAGGCGAGTCCCTGGGTGGGCGGGCAGGAGGCTTGGACACCCAGCTTCTGTTTTCCTTCTTCTACCTAGAAGAGGGAACAGGGAGGAGGAGGGAGTGGGGAGGGGACAGAAGAGGAGAGGGCCAGGCAAGGGGATTCTCCTGATGGAGCGTTGGCGGGGAGGGGCGGAGAGACGGCAGTCGCGGGGGGGGGGGATTATTTCTTGCTAGGAGCGGATGGATGACTTCCTGGAAGAGGGGGCAACGAGGTCTTCTGTGTGTGCTGCGTGTCCATTTCTTCATGTGTTTGGAGTGGGAGTCCGGGGGGGGGCTGCCGAACACAGGAGCAGGCCGCTCTCCTGGCAAGTGGGGGTGTGTTTGGCGGGATAGTGGGATCCTGGATGTCCCCATTTTTGCCCGATTGTGTGTGCTCCCGGTGTGAGAGTCTACTGACAGCTGAGAGGACACGTAGAGGGGACACAGGGCCCAGGCAGGGGTGTGTGTGTGTGTGTGTGTTCAAGGCCAGGAGGGTAGCAAAACAGCCTCAAATGGTGAAGACCTTTGTTAACTCACCCACACTGCGTGGTTAATAAACAGACCTGCTCTTTATAAGCATCTCTGCATCCCAGCCCTCCTGTTCCATACTAGGGACCAGAGGGGGGCTGCGTCAGGAGCTGGAAGAGGAGCAGAAGGAGGAGGAGGAAGGGGACAGAGAGGAAGAGGAGAAGGGAGGAGGAGAGGGGTGGAGGAGGAGGAGGAGAAGGGGAAGGTCTTTGGCAGCCATGCCCAAGATGGGGGGACCCCAAAGTCAGGCTCGAGAAGGGCAGCGAGGGCTGGGAGGGGGGCATAGGGGAGAGACCAGAGAGCGGAGAGCGGCTGGGGCGGGCGGGGGGCGCACAGAGCGGGGGACCAGGGCTCGGTCCTAATCGCTCGACACGTGGTTCTCATTCTGTAGCTGGTGCCAGCGCTCGATCTTCTTGTCCTTGTTTTTCAGACACTCGTACCAGTGTTTCAAGCGCTCTCCCTTGGCTGAGATCCCCAGCTGGCAGCCTCCTGGGGCATGGGAGGGAGAGAGGAGCAGAAGGTCAGAATGAAGGTTGTCCGTCCTAGGCCCAAAAGTGGTACCATGGGCCTCTGTGCCTCAAGAACTTGCCATGGCTCCCAAGTACAGCACCAAGGCATAACTTTGGTGTCTAGCTGGTCAGGCATTCCTGCATATCACCATTGTGCTCATGGAAACCCGCCCCCTTGCTTCTCTAGCACCCGTTACCCACCACCCCCTTCATTTTCCTGCTCAGCCCTTACCCTGTCCAGAGTCTCTGCCAGCCCTGTTTTCAATCACTTCTCTTCCTTTGCATTTGCAAGGAAGACAGGATAATAAAACCTTCACCCTGGACTTGCGAACAAATGGAGGGAATTCCTTTGCACCACTTTTCCGCAGAGACCCCACTCTGCTAGGGTGGAGTCGTTCTATGCAGGCTCAGGGGTCAGCAGATAAGCCCGCTGGGGCAGCGCTGTCACAGAAAGGCAACTCGGAAAGGGACTAGAGCCAGGGTCACAGGCTCCAACTCAGGGCTGGGACGGCGGCGGGGTTGCAGAAAGACCAGGGCTGAGCCTGACCCTCTGTATCCCTGCAAGGCCTCCTCTTCCGGGGAAGATGGCAGGGGTCTCCTCCGGAGCTGGGAGCACTCACCGATGTAATCGTTGGACTTGCCGATGTCGTAGTCCCAGACGGAGATGTCCAGTGACTTCTTCGCCAGGTCACTGTGCTTGATGTCGTAGAAAAACTCCTAGGTGCGGCAGAGGAAGAGTGAGTGCGGATGCCTTCACCCCTCCCTGAGCAGGTCATGGACTGAGGGGCGCCCTGCAGCCTCCATCCCAGGCTCAAGGATCTTCATCAAACACGCGGCATAGCAAACCCCCGCAACCTTGCAGGGAAGGCTGTTTGGGTTAGGGAGGCTGCAGGGGCTTTCCACCTGACCTCGTCCTGCTTGGATTCCCAGAAGGTGATGACTGAGACCTTGTCCTTCCTTCCTGGGCTTTGGAAGGGCTTCGCCTATCTTATGTTTAGAGGGTAAAAATGGTCAAAGCAAACGGAGTGCTTTTGCTCCTAAACAATCTGATTTTTTTTTTTTAAAAATTTCTCCCTAAATATAAAACTTACTCATACCCATTGTTAAAATAAGCAAACTGGGTATGGTGGCACATGCTTGTAATCCCAGCACTTGGGAGGCAGAGGCAGGAGGATCACCGTAAGTTTGAAGCCAGCTGGGGATGCATATCGAGACCCTGTCTCAAAAAACAAAACCAAACTACAAAACGAGGGAGGAAAAAAAAAAAAAAGACTTGTAATCCAACTACCCAAGAATAGGCACTGTCAGTATCTTCCCATGTGTGTTCATGCTGATCCATGTTTTTAAAATATGAAACAATACTGAATATATTGTGTTATAGCTTCCTTGGCCCACTCTATAGCCTATGGCAAACCCAACAGCTATTCACAAATATTTTACTAATAGTTTTCTTTATCGCCACTTTCATGACTGCACTTAATGACTGTCTGGCTACACCATAGCGTAAATGAGGGGTGGCAAACCTTTCAGAGCTTTCAATAACAAACAGCCGGCTGCAGCATGCCTGCTGTAGGTCTGCCACCACTGGCCTAAACCCTCGCAGTGGAGTGCTCAGGCTGTTTTCGAGGCTATCCTTGCAGGGAAGTCTTTGTGGGCGCCCATGATGATTTATTTAGGATGATTTCTAGGAAGTGAACTTCTGAGCTTGTACCACTGTAAGAGGGAGAGTAGCGAGTATATTGTGATGCCATTTGCGAACAGTAAGAAAACAGGTCAAGCGTATATTTACACTGTATATATAAGGTCTGATCAGAAAATATGATTCCTGTTTAAATTTACAAAGTGATTACAGTAGAAGATATATTGCCACGAGTCCCTCTCAGAATACTTCTCCTCACTTTGAACACACTTATCCCAGCATTCTTGCCACCTTCTGAAGCAGCTCTGGAAGTCCTCTTTCGTGAGGGTCTTTAGTTGCACTGTTGTGGCTGCCCGGATGTCCCCAATCAATTCAAAATGTTTACCTTCAATGGTCGTTTGGACTTTAGGGCAGAGCCAGCAGCTGCAAACTGGCAGATCCGGTGGATAGAGATGCACTGACGTGTTTTCCCGAGCCTGCCTTGGTGTTGGATAGTGCTGAGTAGCAGTATTCACCAGAGTTTTGATCACATTTCAGAAAGACACAAAAAGGACTCTAAGAACTGCTTCAGAACGTGGCAAGAACAATAGGAAAAGTACGTTTGAAGCAAGGGGGAAGACCGAGGGGGATTCACAGCATGTGTGTTTTCCTATAATAAACATTTTAAACGCAAACATTCGCTGTATACTACAATCACACCTCATATATAAAAAAGTCTCAGAAACAAATTATATCTTTACTTTAGAAGAAAATAAGTAGGTGCGGGAGGCTGGAGGGAGAGGGGATTTTGATGGAATGACTATTTGTACTTTTGAATTTTAAAATACTCGACTATGTTCCCTATTCCCCAAACAGGTGGAATTTTAAGGATTTTGCAGTTTTTGAAGGACTTTAACACACTTCCCTTTGGGGGCGGGGCCAGCATGCCTTCTGCCCAGGAATGTGTGCGTTTCTCTGCGTGCTCACCAACACTGAGTAGCCACATTTCAAGACATTTTGGGGCCAGTATGTTAGAAGATACAGGGTTTCGTGTTGATATTTGGTCCACATTTGCTTGTTTGTTGGTACCAGGAATCAAACTCAGGCCTTCACACGTGACAGGCAGGTGCAGCACCAGTGAACTATATTCCAGGCCGTTTGGTGTTGATATTTGGGATTTGGGTTTGAGATTATTTTCGTGTGTACGGTGTTGGGGATTGAACTGAGGGCCTTCAGAGTTATATCCCCAGAGGTTTTTATTTTTTATTTTGAGACAGGGTCTCATTAACTTCCCCAGGCTGGAACCTGAGATCCTCCTATGTTAGTGTATGTGCTGCTGAAGATCCTCCTGCCTCAGCCTCCCAGAGTGCTGAATGGATATTTTTTTTTCCTGAATGGGTATCTTATTTTGTGACTTGATGAGATTCCAGGGGAGGGCAAGACAGTGGGCAATGGCTCCTTATTCGAAATCTCTGAGTCCAGTGGCCGGTGGAAGAGCCGAGCTAGCAGGTCAGGGATCACCCTGGGCTCTGTTTACACAGCACAGTCCTCCCCACCTTGTGACATAAGACAACAGCAACCAGTAGTAGCTGACTCTGACCCAACACGAATCTCGGGAACAGGGCAGGGAGGAAGAATACAGGGCTGGGCAGCCGGGCTGGCACACAGCTGGGAACCCGGACTAAAGCCTGCTCTGGGTGAGGCTAGGGGCTGGGCTTCAGGCTCTGAAGTGGTGTCTCCCAGGACGCCGCTTGGGGCTTCTCTGTATTTTAGGTTTGATTAGAGCTCATCTGCTCTTCCACTCTCCCCTTCAGCCCATCCTCCGTTAATCTGCCAGGTGGTTCTGGAGCCCTGGTGTCTCACAGGCCCAGCAGATAATTGCAACCCAGGTGCAGCATAAGACAGGAGTGATGATGCAGTGTCTGGGAACGCAGGGGAAGCATATTTGTAGGAGGTAATGCTTTGTGTTTTGAGGAATGAGTAGGAGTTTGTTAGGGAGGGAAAGTATGGTTTCAAGAGCAGCAGGAACTGAGGAATCTGCATGGAGTTCTGGGTGACTGGAGGGTATGGGAGACAGAGCAGGGTTGAGGGGAGACTGAAGGGGCTCTGCTGTCAGTGCCCAGTAGCTTCAGTGGGCCTTCGTGCCCTGGGCGGACATGGGGAGAGGAACGCACCAAGCCTACTTCTCTTCTCACCTCTGAGTTCACAGAGCAGTAGTGTGGGTGAAGGCATCAGAGCCCATTTAAATCACTCTCCCTCCAACCGCCCCTTCCTTCTTGTGAATTCCTAACCTTAGGGCTTTTGCCGAGGCTTGGTTTCCTCTGGTGACAAGGAACTCATTCCCTCTCCTTAATTCAAGCAGATCTGTGCCCCAAAGCTCTTTCGATGTGATCCGCGTGATTCTAGCAGCGACGTGTTCCTCTCTCGTGCACAAGAATTACTGTAGAGTGTGAGTGGGGGCGGGGTGGCCCTTACCTCATTAAATTCAGGGTTCAAGGTTTTCTTTTTAATTTGAGTCTTGTGTTTGGCTTTCTTTCCCATGTCCGGTTTCAGCCAGCTGCAAGAAGACAGGAGAGGCTTTACGCACAGACTTTACTGAAGGAGGACAGCCCTGCCATGGCCCCAAAGGCCCCTCTCAGCCTCAGGGTGACAGCAGAGGAGCAAACCAGAAAGCAAAGCAATACTGACAATGACCAATGCGCCTCAGGGCGCCAACCTGGCACCAAGCACCTTGGGCAGGCCACTCCCCTTGCATACACAGAAACTGAGGGGCCCGAGACAGGCCTTGGGTCACACTGCTGGGGATGGCACTGAGCTACTGTGCTGGCATTGTGTGCTCTTCACCACCACTTTGTCCCAAAGGACCAAACCGAGAGCCGTGGCTGGTGGTAGAACTCAGGGCAGAGTTTAAAATCCTCATTTAGCTTTTTGCCCTGTGTGACTGGGTCCCTGCTTCATCCCAGCCAAATCTTATGCCAGCTTCCTCTCTCTGTCCCGTATTCACTTGCCTGTCTGTCTCGGGACCTTTGCACACACCATTTCCTTGATCTCTAAGGCTCTTTCCCCAGACCTGGCACATAGCAGGTGCTCAATCAATGTTTTCTGGGTGGAAACACATCCTCCAGGGATGGAGTTTGAAAAGAGACAAAGGTGCTTTCCCCAATGCATCTCTTGCATATCTCAGCCTCTCTTGGTTACTCACTCTACTTTACAAAGGAGGATGCTGAGGCCCAGGGAGGTTAAACCATAAGCCCAGTGTCACACAGCTAGAGAATACTAGAGGCTATCAGAGCAATCAGGATCCAGAGCCCATGTCCTTAACCATATCCATGAAAATACACATTTTGCTGCCACAGGGCAAGGCCGAATTCTACTTTAAAATTTCTGGCACTGGGCACAGTTTAACTGTTTTATACAGGCTGGGCATCTCCAATCCAAAAATCCAAAATCCGGAATGCTCTAAACTCAGAAGCTTTTAGAAATCTGAGCATTCACACCTGACCTCGTGTGATGGGGGCAGCCAGAACATGGGTACGCTAAAAATACTGTATGCACTTACCTCGGGTTATGATAGGTGTGCATGTAACCTAAATGAATTTGTGCTTAGACTTGGGTACTGCCCCAACATATCTCATTTTTGAGATGTAAGTATTCCCAACCCCTAAAAAGTACAAAATCGGAGACACTTCTAGCCCAGAGCATCATGGGTATCAAGTACGCTCACAGTGTATGAGGCCTCCTCTGAGCCCTGCGCCCCCTCTTGGAGATAAATGGAACTGCAATCTCCACTTCCCGGAGGAGGACACTGAGCAAGAGGATGATTCACGTGCTCGGATCTGTCTTTTATGCCCCAGGATCAAGGGCCTCGAATGACCCCCAAGTCTCAGGGTCTTTCCTCGGAGCACTTAAAGTTGGAGCATTTGTGGGGTTCTGAACTGCCCCAGGGAATGCAGCTGACATCTGAGGGCTCCAGAGGGTTGCCATGACCACGCCACTTGCCCCCAAGAAGGACTGAATCACAAAGCTTCCCCTGTGGCAGGTGCCACACTGCCAAAGCCTGAGATGCCAGCCTCCCACTCTAGCACCTGTGCCACTGAGGCTGTACGCAGGCTCGTCCCCCTCCTGGGTCTCAGTGTGCTGTGACTTGGGGGAAGCCCTCTGGCTCTCCAAGGATTGGGACCCTCATGGGCCCTTCGGGGTCCTCAGGCCCTGACTCACAGCTTGACGAAGGGGTCTGAGTAGCCATTGGCGTCCATGGCGGCCAGGTGCACGCAGCGGATGATGCCCACGATGAGGCCTCCTTGCTGAGTGCTGTACATCAGGGACACCAGGATCTTGCCGCGCTCCTCTATGTCGCCAATGCGCTCCACCTGCTGCATTGAGAGGAAAGCACAGGGGCTAGGAGGGCAGGGGCTGGGCTGTGAGTGTGGCGGGCTCGGAGGACCGCTGTGGAGCGCAGCTCGCTCAGGTGGGTCAGCACCACGGACAGCGACAGCGCCCAAGGTTGCGGGGTGGGAGGGTGGGCATCTGACGACTGAGCCCTGACCCCGAGCACACGTGGAACTTGATCCCGAGCCCTGAGTGACCCTGACTCTGACCCGGGACTGAGCCTTGACCTGTTCCAGCCATATCTCAGACTCTGGTTGCAGGTTCCTGTGACCCAAGCAATCTTCTCATCTTCTCACAGGTCCACATGCTGCGGCCACGTGCGAGCCCAGCAGGAGACACGGAGATATGGTTCTGTCTGCCAGGCACACAGCCCGAGGAGCCCGCCCGTGTCCCCAGGGCAGGGGGAGGGTGTCAGCGCTCTCATTTTGTGCAGACCTCAGAAGAACTTCATGCCCGAAGCCAAGGAACTCTCGGGTACCCAGGGTGTCAGAGGGCAGCTGCCCCCTTAGAGGCCTCAAGTGTGGGAAAGACCCCGGGTCCCACTGGGGTGAAAGGCCACTCCCCGCTGACCCCATTGGCAAGCAGGCAGTCAAGAGGGAGAAAGGGACGGGGCCAGGCAGGAAGGGAAGAGACAGACCCCACATGGCTCCGCTTCCCACCCCGGCTCACCTCCTCTTCGTAAAGGGCCATGCCACGGGCCGAGCCGGTGGTCCCTGCACGCTTCATCTTGATGGAGGAAACAGAACGAAGAGGTTGTCTATAGGGTTCCTTGCTCATAGGAAGCCCCAACCCCTCCCGTGTCAGCGCCCAGCGCCTGAGGTGGGGTCTCCGAGCCCCTGCGCCTCTGGTGCTGCCCTCCCGGTTGCAGTTTATACGATGCCAGCCGGCAGCAGGGGAGGCGGGTATGCCGCCCGCTGCTCAGGACAGGGTTCTCTCCCCGTGCCCAGTCTGCAAATGAAGACACCGAGAAGCAGAGTGGGAAAGTGGCTGCCCCAGCATCAGAGCACCCCACATAGGACTCAGATAGCTTTCATCCGCTTGGGCTGAATGGCTCAGGGACTTGGGCTCTGGACCACCGGGTATCTCTGCCCCAGCCCGTGGCCCGAAGGCTCGGAGGAACACAGTTTGCAAACCACTGGTTAAATCCAGCCTCCCCGCTTTACAAATGAGGAAGTCTGGGGTCCACAGAGAGGGGACAGCATTTCTGAGGCCCAGCAGGTCCTTGGTGGGGGAGCAGGTGCTGAGAGGAAGAAAAGGGCAAAGAGCTGAGGATGATTAGCAGCGTCCAAGGGCCGCAGCAGCCCCCACGTCTCCCGCTGTGTCTGTGTCCCAGGCTGGCTACGTCCGTCCAGCAAGCTGGGCAGATCCTGGAGCTGACGGCCTTGGTGGCGGCCTGGCCACCGTCCTGCCAACTGGGCTCATGGAGCAGGGGAGGAAAAGGGTGCTGGGACAGCCGGCTGTACTCCTAGGGCAGCAAGGGATTTATGAGGAGCCCGGCAGGCAGTGCCAACCTTCCCCGCGGTTCCTCTCACAGTGTCCAGTTCCTTTGCATGAGCTGTGAGAGCAGGGCCTGGCGACCAGTCAGTCCGCCCTCAGCGGGCCGCTCTTCCCCTACCCTGGGCCCACACCTCAAACAAGGGCAGGCTGCGTTATCTCAGAAGATGCCATTGCTGCGTCCCCTCCCTCCTCAGTGGGTGTCTCCAGGGGGCCCCTCCGCAGTCTTAGTTTATGAATCTCGGTGTTTACATTTCCTGGTAAACTCTGCGGTGCAGCCCAGTGGGAGAACCTCAGCTCACTCCTTGCTCTTCCTCTAAGGCCAAGTGCCACATCCGAGGGTGACATCAGTTCTCAGACTTTGTACACACAACCACGCTGAAGCATGAGAAGACATTGTCAGGTGGGTCCCACATTATCCCAGCTTACAGAAGAGAAAACTGGGGCTCTGAAAGGTTAAAGAATTTGCCTAAGAGTAGGTTTCAATCTGCAGAGCCAGGATTCAAACCCAGGGCCTCTGGCTGCAAAGGCCACACTCTTAGCCACCAAGCTGTGGACGTCATGATGGACAGGTGGACATGGTAGCATTATTTTCTATAATAATGACTGTGATTTATGCATGCTTATTTCACAGTAGATTCTGTTCTGATGTTTATTAAACACAACCATTTCACAAGTAGGCACTCTTGTGATACCCGTTTTGCAGACAAGAAAACTGAGGCTCAGAGTAGTTCAGTCTCTTGGCTAAAGCTAAGGAGCAGGGAGTGGCAGGGCTGGGTCTGCTCCTTGCTGACTCTGGGAAGTCAAAGGAGAAGGAAGATACAGCCCTGACCTCTTGAGCGGAAATCTTCATTCTCCTGGCCGGCTGCCGCAGCCCTCTGCTCAGGTACCCATGGACCCATCCCCACTGCAGACCCTGAAATCCCAAGGACTGAGGCACTCACCGGGATCACCCGCTCCAGACAGATATTGAAATTCTTCCTCTGGTTTGGTTTCAGTTTCTTAAGCGAGAATCTCGTTTCACCGATGAACTCGTTATGGCCAAATTTGTCCTCGTCACAGACGGAGATCCTGCCAGGGACATAAGGAGTGGGCAGAGAAAGGGCAACAAATACTGAACTCCTACTTTGTGCCAGAGCGTCGGCCCGTGCGGGCGAGGAGCGTGGGCTGGGTCTAGGAAGGGCACGGGGCCTATTTAGGGAGCCTGGGCCGGGGGTCGCACTTCTGCTTGGCTGCAGTGTGACCCACCTGCCCCAAAGGGTGCAGACCCCGGGCACTGGGTTAGGAGGCACAGCCTGGCGAGTCTGCGCATGTGCACACACGGGTACGCACTGCGCATGTGCACACAGGTACTCACTTCCTGTCCGGAGGAAGGCGTTCTTGCACTGGGTGGGGGCACTTGGGACCCGCCCCACTCACTAGCTGCCCCCCCCCCCGCCGTCCTGACCTCCAGCTATATGGAGCTATTTTTCCTGTCCGACCTTCACCTTCACCTACATTTGTCCCCCCCCCCGTCCCCCCTTTCCTTCTACTGGAGATTGAGCCCAGGGCCTTTGCATGGAGCTACACCCTCAGCCCTGATTGATTGATTGAGACACAGTCTTGCTAAGCTGCCCAGGCTGGGCTCAAACCTGTGACCCTCCTGCCTCAGTCTCCCAGAGTGCTGGGGCTACAGGTGTGTGCCACCAGGCCTGGTTTTCTCACAGGTGTTTCTAATGAGCGGGTCCCCTCCTGCTCCCTCTCCGCCGCCCGCGGGCACCTGAGGGTCTTCCTCTGCATGTCCTCGTCTGTGATGCCGTGGTACACGAGGGTCTCGTTCCAGATGGGGTTCCGGGTGTTGCGCAGAGTTTTCGTCCGGAGCTTGTTGGACTAGAGCCCGAGAGGGGTCAGTCAGACTCGACTCCCCAGGAGCTCCCTGCAGCCCCGTCCTCTGAGCCGCTTTGAGGTGGGCTGCGGCTTTCCCATTGGTAGTGTCCAGCGCCCCAGTCGGCCACAAATGCGTGTTCAAGGGCCTGGGACCTCCAGGACAATGGCCGCAGACCAATGGATCCGCGGCCGACACTGGCCCCTGCTGGAACCCTCCACTCAGATAAAGAAGCAGAGATGTCTGCCCTTGACCCAGGGAGGAGAAATGAGTCTCCCATTTCCAGGGAGAAGATCTTGGGGCATCGTCCCCGTGTTAATTAACACAAGGCCATAATCATGCCGGAAGAGCACACCTCCACATCCAGCCCAGAGGTGCGCTGAAAACCCTGGGGTGGGGGGCAGCCTGAGCTCTGCAGGGGCCTCCTTTCTAGGAGCGATGAGGAGGGGCTGGAGGTCAGGGTGGCTGGGAGAGAAGCGGGGCGCACTGGGAGCCCCTGCAGGCCTGGGAGCCGCTGAGGGCTCCCTTCCAGGCAGCTCTGGGGACCCGGGTTTCAGGCTGGAGGGAGGAGTAGAGCCCCTGACCACCTTCGGCCTCAGCCATAGGAGGGCTTTGTCACCGGGTCAGAGTCGAGGGCACGGGCCAGATGGGCTATTTTAGGCTCAGGGCTGAGAACCCCGGTGCGGGCCAGGCTTGCAGAGCTGCCGGCCATATGGTACCTTGCTGGCTCCTGGCAGGAGGTGCAGCTTGACGTAGGGATCGGCCAGGCCGTTAGAGTCCATGGGCTTCAGTCCCTGCAAGAAAAGCCGACCGGGGCCTGAGAGGCTCGGGCCTCTGCTGTTGTAGGCAAGAGCACAGCCCCGGTGTCTGTCCCACCTGGTGGTCCTCCCTGCACTCCTCCTCTTCCAAAGAGAGAGGAGGGAGACACAGTACTGGAGAGAGTGCTAGGCTCAGGCAGTCAGGACCTAGAGACGTGCTGCTACCAAACAAGCTGTGTGACCTTAGGAAGGAATCTTAACCTCTCTGAGCTTCTGTTTCTTCACCTATGAAATGGGAATGAGAATAGGACTTTCCTTGTGGAGTGGCGAGCTTAGATGCAATTTTGCCAGGAACAGAGTAAGCACCCCATCAAGGCTGCATTATTCTGCCAGGATGGGAATAGAAAAGAAAGGCAGACAGAAGGAGGATCGGAGAAGGAGGATCAGAGGAGGAGGAGACACCTGAGTTCTGGCCCTGACCTCGCACTCACTCCTGAGACCACAGTTGCCCCCCGCCCCATACAAAGGGGTCAAGGTGCCTCGGGCACTGACCTCAAGGCATTATTTACAGGGTGGTTGCTGAATAGCTCAGCATACGCGCGCAGTGCCTGGTACACAGCAGGCACCCAATATGTGCACGGAGGAAGTGGCACTGGGGGGAGGACAGGCTGCTCTGGGGTCCGCACTGGGACAGATTTGGAGCCAAAGGGGAGCTCCTAGGTCTGACAGCAGGGAGCCGGCCTGGGCAGAGCCAGGGTCTGGCTCCCGGGAGGTGGCCACAGACAGGTGCAACCTCTCTGGAACTGTCCCCGGAGGAAGTCCCGCCACAGAGACGTCAGCTATGCCTTGTGACCACCCTGCGCCCGTCACCAGCGCTGCCACAGACAGGCTGCAGCGGGAGACAGCCCCGGAACTGTCCTCACCCCAGTGTCCTCACCCACCTTGGCCTTTATGATGGTGCACTGCAGGGAGCTGTTGTCCTGGTCATAGAGAAGGCTGAATTCCAGGGCACCCAGAGTGGCTGAAGGGGTAAGACAGGAACCAAGAGGACATTTGTTTAGTCATTCAACAAACTCTTATGACATACCCAGTCAGACTAGGCAAGGAGAATACAGAAGACGAGAACACTCCATCCTGGCAGACCCTCCTCTTTAGCGCCTCTGTGCATGTGCGATCGGTTGGTTATCTATGCGCTTGCTCGGTGGATGGCTTCCTGTCTGGCTACACTGAGGCCCGTGGGGGCAAGGGCTGGGCTGTCTGCTGACTCTGCCCCTGCTGTGCACCAGTCAGGACACACTTGGATGTGTCCTTACTTGCTGAGGGAACAAATGCTCTCCCTCTACATCCTCACATAGCTAACAGCTTCTTACCATCCACATCTCTGCCTAAACCTCACCTGCTCAGAAAAGCCCTCCCCGTCACTGCCTCTAATGCAGCTGCCCTCAGGTCACTCAGTATATTTCTTCTCCTTTAGGAGCTCTTGTCTTGATCTGAAATGGAGTCAATGTCAGTGGTCTCTCTCTACCAGAATACTAGTGCCAGTATATCAGCCAGCTCATCTGCCATCTTTTGCTGTTAGGGACTTCCTCCGGGGACAGTTCCAGAGAGGTTGCACCTGTCTGTGGCCACCTCCCGGGAGCCACACGGCATCCAAGTATCTGGGACCGTTTGAGGCACTTAGTACATGCTCAGTAAGTTCATCTGCTACAGTGTGGGAGGCGGAGGAAGCTGGAGACAGGTATATTAATATGCATGAGACAGGAATATTAAAAATACAGGCACAAAAATAAATTAATTAAAAAAATCAAAATACAGGCACAAGTGAACAATGGGCCCGGTGCATTTCTGGAGCAGAGACAGCCCTGGCTGAAGAGGCAGGCAGTCTCTCTTGAGACCCACGAGACAGCACAGGAGATGCAGGGGACAGCTGGCACTTCTCCAGTCCCCTCCATTTGTCATGGCGGGGGGACAAGCAGCCGTCCTGGCCTGGGCAAGGGGATTCAATGAGCAGACGCATACAGCAGGCTCAGGAGAGTCCCTGGCATGCGGTGCACATGTCACCACTAGAATCTCAGATGTCTGAGTCACACAACAGCAATTCATCCTGTGCCTGGAGCACTGTGAAAAAATGAAGGCTTAGTGAGACCCCATCTCAATTTTATTTTTCTGAGATAGGGTCTTGCTATGTAGTCCAGGCTGGCCTTGAACTCATAGCGATCCTCCTGCTTCAGCCTCCTGAATGCTGGGATTACAGGCAGCTAAAAATATGACAAAAAAAAAAAAAAAAAAAAAAATAGAATAGAAAAAAAAAAAAAAAAAAAAAAAAAAAAAAAAAAAAAAAAAAGGGACTGGGGATGTAGCTCTGTGCAGAGGCCCTCGGTTCAGTCCCCAGGACTACAAACTAGAAAAGGGATGACAGCATGCAGTCCCTGAAGCACCTTTCGGGCGGTGCCTCAGTTTACCTGCCCCTCAACCAGTGTTCACTTCCTAGTGTGCAGTGAGCCAAGGCCATGCCGCTGTGCCAGGCTTCATCCAGGTCTGTGTGGCTCAGCGTCCCTGCCTGAGCCAGACCCTGGACCACACACTGCATCCTACACTTGCAAGTCCGGTCTCCCTGGCATTCTCCGAGAGGTACACAGTATCCGCTTAATAAATCACCGAGGAGACAGGTGCAGGCAGAAAGGTCTAGTGGCTTACAATCCTGGTCAAACATCACTCTTAGAGCACGCCTGCTGAAACACTTCGGCATGTACATGCCCAGGAGTGCGATCTCGGGGGCACACGAGGGTTCTGTTTACCAAAGAGCTGCAGACTGATCTCGGGGAATGCAGGCAACGCCACCTCATTGAAATCTTTAAGATGATTAAAATGAGCTGGGGATGGTGGTGCACATCTGTAATTCCAGCACTCTAGGAGGCTGAGACAGAAGGATCACAAGTTAGAGCCCAGCCTGGGGAACTTACTGACTTAGTGAGACCTTGTCTCAAAGTATAAAAGGGCTGAGGACATAGCTCAGTGCAAAGGCCCTGGGTTCAATCCCCAGTCCTGCAACAACACCAACAAAAATGATTCAACTGGTAACTCTGACGTCATGTATTTTACTACAGGAGGGACCACACCATGTAGTCCCCATTCTGTACAATGCTGATGCTGCTTTGTGAACACAAGGTTACGTCCACGGCTTTAGCGTGCTGACCGGTCTCGACATACAGGGGCCGGGGTACCCCAGGGGCTGAGGGCCACTTCATTCTGTACGTACTTGCTTCATCTGAGTCGTAGCTGTTGGCCTCCTCCTCCTCCTCCTCCGGGGGCGGCGGGCGGGCTGTGGTGGCAGGTTGGGGGACAGCGGCAGATGCTTGGGAATAGGGTCCCGGGGGTGGCGCTGCTTGTTCCTCCCTGGCTCCCCCTGTCCTCTCCTCCCGGGCTGGGGCACTGGCCCCCAGATAGCCAGGGTCACCTGTAGCCACTTCTGTAGGCACACAGGAGAGGACAAGAAAGAGGCAGCTGAATCCCTGGAGCAACTAGGGAAGCTTGCAAAATGCAACTTCCCTGGCCCCATGCAGAATTAGTGGCCGGCAGCAGAGCCTTGGGGTCCGTGTCCGACAGCCGAGGCAACTGAGATGTTGCCAATACAGCCTTCACTGGGGCTGGTGAGCAGTATAGACTTGAGCCAGACAGCCTGCATTTGAAACTCAGCTGTGCTACCTTGGGAAAGTTAAATAATGTCCCTGAGCCTCAGTTACCCCATCTGTAGAACGGGATTCATGATACCCAAAGGCAATGCAGAAGTTGCATGGGTGATTTTAAATAGTGATCTGATATCTGTAGCAGGAAGCAGTGAGGATGTTGTGGCCATGACGACAGATGATGCAGGGATTGTTGCACACGTTCCTGGCTCCAGGCTGAGGTCCTTCCTGTGTTAATCCTCCCCACACCCCGTGAGGCTGGGCCTCATATCTGTCTCACTTTACAGATAGGGAAACACAGACGGTCAGGCTCAGCAACTGTCCCAGTCACACAGCCAAGCAGCGGAGGAGCAGGGCCTGAGCCAGCCGTCTGCACTCCCGGCCACCTCGGGGTTGGCATTTTCTACGTAGCGTTAGTACAGTTGCGGGGGATTGGGCATCAAGGCTCCCCCTCTGTCCCTGGGAGGTGGTGTCCCAGACCCCCCGGCTGGGAGGAAGCGCACACTCGCCTGCTCTCTGGTCTGGACAGCGTCCCGCGGGCCCAGGAGCCGTTCTGCCGCCCCCTGCCGGCCCTGACGGGCAGAAAGGGACAGTGGACGGTAGGGAGGGCCACGACATGCGGTGCCGGGCCCTCCCCACTCCGGGCATGGGGGTGGACGGGATCCAGGGAGCCGTGCGGAGGTCCCCGGGGCTGCAGGGGCCGTCCCGTAGGGGACTGGGGGTCAGAAGGGCCCGGTTCATGCCGACCCTGGGGGCCCTTCCAGCACTGCGAGTCCTCCGGGGACACTGCAGGTGGGGACCCTGAGTGGAGCACTCTCCCCTCCCTCCGGGGCCAGGACACTCCCTCCTCCCTTCTCCTCCCCCTTCCTCCCTCTCCTCTCCTCCTTTCTGCCCCCTTGCCCCTCCCCCACCCGGCCCTAAGTCCGCATCGCTTGTCCCGGCGCCGCTGCGGAAGAGTTTAAGCCTCAGCCGCAGCTGCAGCTTTGCTCAAGGTCCAGCAGTTCTTTAGGGTGAAAAGCGGCCCGGAGGGATTGGGAACACACGTTGGGACACTTGGGGACACAGTGGTGGGTGGGGCAGGTACCTGGTGGCCCAGGCTGAGGAGGTGCTGGGCTGGGCCCCGAGGCCGCGGCAGGGCGGGAGGCCTGGACCGAGTTAGTGCGTCTCAAACCTGCGCGGCAAAGACGGCAAACAGCAGTCGTGAGTCACACGGCACATGCACACTTGTATGCCCATGTTTGGGGCTGCTCCGGGCCTTTGTTATCCAGGCTGCCATCAAACTTGAGACTCTCCTGCCTCTGCCTCCAGGGTAGCTGGGATTATAGGTCTGCACCGTTGCACCTGTCTCTTGTCTTTTTTAATACTCAGGCTCCACAGGCAAATCCCAGCCATAGCATGCCTGCTAACATCCACAAGCTCTGTGATCTTACTTCCCTCCACCTGTATGACTTTGCACTAAAAACTACTCCCCTGGACCTCAGTTTTTTCATCTGTCAAATGGGGATAATAGCACCTGCCCAGAGGGCTGAGGAGAAGACAGCTGTGCAATGCAGTGGTCACTGTGTTCTATGCATTCAGCACATCAGATGTGATATGATTTTATTACAGGAAGACTCCATCTGGTCATCACCACATGGACTCGGCCTTGGATCCTGGCTTCCCCCTTTGTAAGCTGTGTGACCTGGGCCGCTCACTTGCCCTCTCTGAACCTCAGGTGCCTCCTCAAGTTGACAGCTCTGCCTGCCTCTCGCAGCAAGGAGTTCGCATGTGTCCAGTGCCTAACCTGCGCCTGGGGCTCCGTGTGGGAGAACTTACCCAATCTCTGCCCTGGAACCCCAGGAGCCAGGTGCCCTCAGAGCTCTGTTCCACAGAGCAGGAACAACAACGCCCACAGAGGGCGAAGGGGTTCACCCAACGTCTTGTGGCTGGCTTGGAGTGCTGCCAGGGTCTGGACTTCAGCTGCTGTGGTCCCCCTCACTGTCCTCATGGTCAGCGTCTGTTATGGTGGTTGTACCACCCCGTTGTCATGTCTAGGTTACTTAGCTTCTCCTTTCACCAGACTGTGAGCTCCTAAGGTCTGGAACGATGGCCAGGTGGTGGCGTGGGATACAGTGGGCGCTGAATAAATACTTGTCAAATGAGCAATGTGCCAGTGACACTGGGGCCCATTGACAATAGAACGGGCTGCTTGGTGATTTATGGGCTCCCCACAACAGGGCGTGGAAGCAGCGGATGGTCAAGCCCATCTCGGGATATCTTTCATGGGGTTTCCACACTGCATGAGGGTGGACGCTGGGACTCCAGGATTAAGCCTGGACCAAAGGGATTTCACCGGATTTTCTGCCCCTCCAGTTGGCCTCTGCATGTGAACTGCCCGGTTCAAACACCAGCCAGGCCATGACTTCCACATGACCTTGGGCATGTGCCCCGCTCTGCCTTACCTACTGAGGGAGGAGGATGATGATGACAATTACCTTGATGAGATTAAGTGAGATAATACATGCAAAGGCTTTAATCTCATGCCTGGGCAGAGTAGGTGCTCAATACATTTGAGCTGCTATTACTAGTCATTCATGGGCTGGCGTGTAGCTCAGTGGCGTATGTTAGGCCATGGGTTCAATCTCTAGTACAACAAAAAAAAAACTATTTGAGCTGAGCATGGTAGGGCATACCTATAAGCCCAGCACTGAGGAGGCTGAGGCAGGAGGATCACGGTGAGTTTGAGGGCAGCCTGGGCTACATAGTGAGTTAAAGGCCAAAGGGAACTATATAAAAAGAGTCTGTCTCAAAAAAACAACAAAGCAAAGCAAAACAAACAAAAGAGATAGCCATTCAAATCTGCAAATCTTTGAGAACCTATAACCAACCAGGAATCTTAGCATAGGCTGGGAAATAAGGAGAGCTAAGATTGTAGTATATGCTCAATAAATGTTGAGAAACATAATGAATGAATAGAGAGACATCCCTAGCTGGTATTGGACTGGGGAGGGAGACTGAGGCTTCTGATACTCTGGACGGCAGTAAGCTCTACCTCAGGCCCCACTCTCAGTTTTCTGGCGACTCAGAGAAAGGAACAGTGGATCAGGTTGCGGTGCAGCGGGGAAGGAGTGGAGGGATCATAGACGAGGGGAACATTTTCATGGCTCTTGAGGGACAGAAGACCCAAGTCTCACTCAGGAATGTCCCAAGTGTCTTTTCCCTCAAGAGGCAAGATAATATAGTGGTTAAAAGACAGAACTTGATATACAAAAATTATATGCCACCTGTAGGTATGTATTTGACACACTGGAAAAGATATCTGTACATCATTTTCACAGCTGCACTATACAAAGTGAATCAAAGACCCAAACATAACAGCAAAAACTATAAAGGTCTTAGAAGAAAACATAAAAGGAAATTGTTATGGCAAGGATGGCTTAGATATAACACTAAAAATAGGGGAAGCAAAAGAAAAAGTAGATGAATTGGACTTCATTAGAGTCAAAGACTTCTGTGTGTCAAGTGACCCTACTATCAAAGAGAAAAGCAACTCACAGAAAGGGTGGAAGCATTCATGAATTATGCATCTGCTAAGGCATTGATACCGGAATCTATAAAGAACTCTTATATCTCAACAACAGAGAAAAGCCTAGCCTTTAAAAATGGGCCAAGAGTTCAAGTATACATTTCCACAGGAAGATATACAGAGGCCCAGGAGATGCATGGCAAGATATCCAACATCTCTGGCCTTTAGGACGAGGCAAGCCAAGTCCACAGGACCCCAGTGAGGCCACTTTATACTTTCTGGAATGGCTGTCACTTAAAAACAAGACAAAAAGCAAACAAATAAAAAACAAGAAAATGTCAATTATTGGTAAAGATGCAAAGAAACTGGAAACCATATGCATTGTTGGCGGGGTGGGATCGCGGTGTACACACTGGGGAAAATAGCATGTTAATCATCAACAAATCACATACAGAACTGCCACCTGTAGGTATGTACTTGACACACTGGAAAAGATATCTGTACGTTTTCACAGATGCACTATTCACAATAGCTAAATGCCCGTGAATAGATGAGTGGATAGGTAGCATGGTATATCCACATGATGGAATATTATATAATCAAGAAGAGTGGGCAAATTTGGACACAATTTCCCCCCTTTTACGGTTATGTAATTTTACAACATGGATAAAGTTTAAAGATGTTATGCTAAGTGAAATAAGCCATAAGCCATACAAATATTGTATGATTCCACTTCAGTGTGGCATCAGGCATACTCAAGGTCATAGAGATAGACAGGAGAGTAGCAGTTCTGCGGGGAGAGGAAAATGGGGTGCTATTGTTTCGTGAACACAAGATTTCTACTTGGAAAGATGAGAAGTTTCTGGAGATGGACAGTGAGATCGTTCTACAGCAGTGAGAGTATGCAGCTGAGCCCTGCTGGATTGTATACACAAAAATGAGCACAAGAGTTGGATATATAAATGATAAAGAACCAAAAGCAAGAGCTGAAATGATAAAACTCCAGGAGGAAAACAAAGGGAAATTTTAATGGCAAGTTCAGAAAAAGAAAAAAGCACTGCCAATAAAAACTTTACCTCTAAAAGAGAAAAGCAGAAGTACAGGGTTTGGGGTTGGATACTACGAGTTTAATTCTCATTTTAACCAAATATCAGCTGGGTGACAGGGAAAGTGCTGGTTTCACCTGTCTGAGCTTCAGTCTTTCCATTTGTATAATGGAAATAATGTGTCTCAGCCCTGGATTTGGGGTTGTGGCAAGGATTCAGGGAGATAATACATGTTAAGAGCTTGGACAGTGTCTGGTTCAAGGCAAGCATTCAATAAGTATTATGTGGTGCTGCAGACCTAGGAATCCACCTTTCCCTGTCCACAAACCATGAGTCCCTCAGGGGGTCTGGGCGGCAGATGGCGCATGCCCCGCTGGGAACTGCGGTGATAAGTCGGGAACCACAGTTTAGGAAGAAAAGACCGGAACACAACAGGAGGCTGAAACATTCAGCTAATGCGACTTAGACCCAGACTCAGTCCCTCGCTGTAAATGCAGCAGAGCTGCTCAGGGCCAGGGTTATGAAACATGGATTTCCCAACCAAGCATACATTTCCTTCGAGGTCCATGGACCAAGGACTCTGGCCAGTGCGCTCTGTTGCCTTCTAATCCCAGCCCTGGAGAGCCAGAGACGCTGGGGACAACGACAGCACCTGTCAGTGACATCCTAGCCATGCTGACCCACACGTCTCCTGGGAGAGCAGAAGCCCCTTCTTCAGAACAAGGCATCCTTACTTTGCTCAAAGCCAAGGGACATTCTCCCCAGCTTCTAGGAGGAAGTGAAGCAAAAATATGTGCTTTCTTTTTAAGAGCAAGGAAAGAACATAACCAAAACTGTATGAATCCTGTCTTTCCTCTACCGTAGAGTAGAACCAGCATCTGGAACACAACACAGTATACTGTAGGTGCTCCATAAATACCGAGTCAATAAAGAAATGAAAACCTTCCCCTCTTGGTTCTTTCGGTTTCTTCTAGTGCCCATCTGGATTCACGGCCTCCCTCACCTGCCACGCTCCGGCTGGCATCTCCAGCACCCGCTCCGTGGCCGTGGTCCCAGCTCTCGGAGTCCCGGGTGGCTGACGTCATGCGCGCCTCCGAGGCCCTGCGCACGGGAGGCCCATAGCTTCCTCGGCCAGGGGCGGAGGCCGGGTCGGGACCTGTAGGGCAGAGCGGAGATTGAATAAAGACCCTAGGGGAATGGGGTGGGAGGACTTCCGTTCCAAAGCTTAAGACAGGGCTGGGAATTTAGCTCAGCGGCAAAGCACCTGCCTGGCAAGTGCAAGGTTGTGAGTTCGGTTCCCGGTACAGGAGAAAAACAAACAAACAAACAAAGCTTAAGACAGAGTCAGCAGAACCCACCTGGCTTCTGACCTGGGCCCCTCCTGTCCTCAGTGTCACCTGGGGAAAGAGGGGGAAGGGACAATGTTGTCTGGAGAGTATTTACTTATGAGGCCCATAGAGGGGCTCATCTACCCCTCCTAAAAACATTTTAAAAATGAAGCCCCTCCCTGCCTGCCCCTAAGCTAGCTTGCGGTTACAGTTAGTTTTATTCCCTTTGCATATACAAGCACCTACGAGCACACACTGACTTAGAAAAAGAACAGCTCTGTTGTACAGTCTTTGCAGCTGGGAGGGAGTAACGCATGACCAGGAAAGAGGGTGCTCTAATGCAGAAACCGGGCATTTCTCTGGGACGCCACATCTGCGGAGAACTTGGCAACTCTCTGCAAGGAGTGGGGCCCGCTGGTGCCTCGCCAGGAAGAAAGCATTTGCTGAACGCCTTTGGGCACCGCACACCACACGTGCTAGGTACCTTGAAAAATCATCCTAGGAGGGACACAGGTGGTGCTTAGTTCTTTTTGTTTGTTGGTTTTTCCAGTACTGAGGACTGAACCCGAGGCCTTCAGATGGAGCTACATTCCTGAGCTTTTAAAATTTTTTTTGAAAAAATTTTGACAGCCTCTCGCTAAGTTACAAAGTTTCTCATGCTGGGCTTGAACTTGTAATGCTACTGCTTCAGCCTCCCAGAGTGCTGGGATTAGCGGCATGCGCTACCGTGCCCAGCTGATGCTCCCGTTTTTGAGAACTTCAACTTAACAACCCTCCTTTCAGAATCACAATCTGAGCTCAGCTCCAGAGTTGCCATTGAGACTAGATTTGATTACTTAATGTCAGTTGAAATTATTGCAAAGGCTTTATCTGGTCAGTCCAAGAGGTCTAATCCAATTAAACCATGTTTTTATTATGATTTTTTTAAAGTGCTATTTCTCTCTCTCAGTTATCATCTTAAAAATTAATAATAACACATATAATAGTGATCATATCAATAGCAGTGATAATTTTCTTTTACCAAATTCATTTCAGTTCATTTTTCACTTTTAATTAGTCCAACTTCAGACTTGCTTATAGCCGATAGAAAAAGGATTGCAGGGCAGGAAGGCTTTCCCAGCAAGTCTCAATCCCCCTAGGAGCTAGGGTGTACTTTAGTGGAGGGAGGCTCTCTCAATTTGTATTTTAATTTGTCCTTCTTTTGTACTCCTAAGCATTTCACCAGGGATGGCAGGAAGGGTTTCTTGACAACCTAGCTTTGCTGGAGTTTCCTGTGCTACCTTCCTGGTGAAGGTTTATGGTAGGCGTGAAGGGGACAAAGCAGCCCTAGGCCCCAGTGCAGAGAGTGACTGTCCCCTAACTGGGTGGACACAGGCATCGCAAACACCCTCTAGGTAGATCAGCGGGCCAGGATCTGTCCTTGGTGCTGAAGAAGGCACCTGTGTGGCGTCCTACCTCGTGCTGGAGCCCGGGCAGTGTGCTTGGGCTCAGGGGCAGGCTGCTCTGGACCAGCAGGCTCGGTGACGGGCTGCTGCGGTTTGGTCTTCTTTATAGGCATGGGCTGTGGGAGGACCTGTTTGGGGAAGCCTTTGAAGAACCACGCCCCGGAACGCTTCCATACCTGGGGAGGGAGAGAGGCGTAGAAGCTGCTACAGCCAAGCGTGATTGCTCTTGCTTTTGTGAGCCAGTATTTATCTTTGCTTTGTGCTCACAGTAGGATATCGTCCATCTTCTTTTTGTGGTCCTAGGGATTGAGCCCAGGGCCTTCACACTGAGCTACATCTGTAGCCTTTTTTCTTTTTCATTTTGAGACCGAGTCTACTAAGTTGCTCTAGCTGGGTTCAAATTCTCCCTCCTCCTGCCCCAGCCTCCTAAAAGTGTGGGATTTCAGCTGTGGGTGCCACCACCCCCAGTGTAGTCCTCCACCTCTTAAAGGTGGCCCTGCAGTAGCTGTAAAGGGGCAGCTTCCCCGAGACCTGTGGCTTTTGTCTTGGCAGTGCCCAAGGGTGGTGAGATGAACAACCTCTGTGTATCTGTAAGGTCCATTCTGCACCGTTCCCCACCCAGCGTGGTGCCCAGGAAGCTGAGCGGCACTGGCTGCAGTACGAGGACACCCTCGGCCTCTGCCTTTAGGGTTATTTGGCCAAGGAGAGCTCCAGAGGAGTCATGGCATTTGTGCCCTCGGCTCCCTCCCTGCTAGCCAGACAGTGACAACGTCAGGCCAGGTGACACTGACCTCCCAGTCTGTGGCATCTCCCTCCCCACCTATCTGTTCAGTCTCAGGGTGATAACAGCTGCCGGCACTGGGGAGCTCCTCCATCCACTGTGATTTTCTTCAACCCTGCCCTGACCTTTGGAAGCAGCTCAGACTTTCTCAGACTGCCCAATGACCCTGTTGGGGTGAGTCCTGCCCAGTCCCTCACAGATATCCAGAAAGTTGTGGTCACTGAAATTGTCCTAAAGGCAAGAAGGTGCAGCAGAGGGTGAGTGATGAAAAAATCAGAAATTGGGGTCAAACGAGCAACAAAAAGCAAGTCTGAGGAAAGGGAGGGTTTTGTGGGAGAATGAGCCAGAGATAGAGGAAAGAGAAAGGGCAGAGGAGAAGGTGTGGAAGGCGTGCGAGGTGGGAGAATGAGGGAGGGAGAGAAGGCAGGAAGGGCAGGGGAAAAGATCACCTTAAGTGAAGGAGAGAGTCTGAAGAAAGACAGGGTAGAGAGGAGATGTGAATAGAGGGAAAGAGCAAGAAAAGATGTTGGGAGAGGAAGACGTAGAAGGTGAGAAATGGGGATAAGGTGAAGGTGGAAGCCAGAGGGTGATGAGTTAGGAGAGAAGGGAAAGAGAGGAGGAAGGAGAAAGTCACAGGTGCAGAGGACAAGAAGAGAAATTCATCTGAATACTCAGAGGTCATTCTGTCGTTTCATAGCTGAGCTAGTTCCTTTCTTACCAAACCCTTAAGACACAAGGCCTGCTGAGAATGGGGGCACACACCTGCAGTCCTAGCACTCAGGAGGCTGAGGCAGGAGGATTGCCATGAGTCTGAGGCCAGTTTGGGCTACATAGTGAATTCAAAGCTAGCCTAAACTATACAGCAAGACCCTCTCTCAAACAAAATTAAACAAAATGGAAAGAAACAGAACAAAATAGACACAAGACCCTACCCAAACCCTCCACTCTTAAAATGCTATCCCATGTCCCTGGGCCCAGGGGGAAAAGGGAGCTGGTAAGGTTGGGAGGGGGATGGGATCAGACCACTCACCTCCCTCTGCTCGATGCAGATTTTGCAGAGCCACACAGGATGCGGGCGGTTGTTGGAAGTCTCCACCCCACACTTGGTGCAGACGTTCTGGGGACAAAGCACAGCCCGAGGCATACTCAAGGGAGCTGTGGGGGCTGGGAGGTGGCAGTGGTGCCCCAGGATCTCTTGGTGGATGGGAAAAGCTAGAACTGTCCTTCCCCCTCACCCTTTCTGCTGTGAGCAAGGCCAGCTAGAATACAGTTCCAATCTGATTCCTATTTCCCATGACAAGAACTCGAGTCCTTCCTAAGCAGGGGTGAAAGGGCTCTCTAAGATTCCCTGTGCGGTCTGAGTTTTCAGCAATCACATAGAGGAGGACATTGACATCTTTTTTAAAGAGGAAGGACCATGTATCCATTTTGTTTACTCATTTACTTCCTCTTTCTTTCCCCAAAGGATCCAAGACAACCTTGACCACGAAGAGAAACCCAGTTCTGCCTGGAGAAAGAAGCTATCTGGGTACAAGCCATAACTGGGGCAGAATATTGTATTTGGGGCTGAAGGTCCTGGCCGTCAGGACCAACAGGGAAACATAATATGCTACAAATTCCCACTGTCTGGTTGACTGCAGCAGATATGTTTTTCAGAAAAGATACACTCTCCCCAAAATGCCGTTCTAAATGCAAAATGGAATAGGACATACCCAGGGACTGTCCCCAGCTGGGTTGCTCACCGGAACTCCCTTGCTGGGAATCAGGCACACCCAAAGACAGTGGTACCTCTGCCCTGGCTCTGTGAAGTGCAGACAGCTGAGAGGAGTGCTGAGAGCTCACAGAGACTTCCCTCCAAGCAGGAACGCTCTCAGAGCCCAAGGGTTTGAACTTAGCTGGACAGAGGCTTCCCAAGTCTCTTGCGCCATTCCCCTTGGAGGACAATGCTGAAAGGATGTACATGTCCCCCCAAAGTAACGAGAGGTAGGGATTTTGGAAAAAGATTTGATCATTGGAGTGTTACACTCATCAACACATTAATCCCTTAATGAGATCTGTTAGTCTCACAGCTGAATGAGCTCATGGCTGAATGTGCTGTTGGGGGATAGAGCCTGGGTGGAAGAAAAGAGCCTGGTGATCCTTTTGGGGTATATCTACTTCCCCGGCTGCTTTCTTTTCTCTCTGCTTCCTGACAGCTGGGAGTTGAGTAAGTTTCCTGCACCAGGCCTCTCCACCATGTATTTCTGCCTTGGAGCCAGCTGACCATGGACGGACCCCACTGGAAACTATGACCCAAAAAAGACCTCTCCTGCTTTAAGTTGTGGGTGTTGGGTCCAGCGATGCGAAGATCACTAATACACTTGGTAGACACAGCCAGGACACTCACAGGCTCTACCACCCTAGGCTCCAAGTTCATCCTGGACAGAGGTCGGTTCCAAGGGAACATAAGAGTTAGAATGACTTCAGGGAAGGAACGAGGGTCAGGATGACCTTAGAAGACAGTTGGGCATGGGAGCAGGCAGGGAGAATCCACGTCCTGCCAACGACCCGTCCGACCTCCCCCCCGGTATGCAGCCCCACAAAGCAGGAGCTTGGCATCTCCACAGGTGTTGAGCAGGAATGGAGGCAGGAGGGCGATGGTACCTTCTTGCAGTCCTCACAGACGACACAGGCAGAGCCCAGCATCCCCAGCTGTTCCCCACACAGGATGCAGCGGTTCACCCCATCCCCGGCCACGTTCTTCCTCATGTTCTCCAGGCGATCTACCAGGCGCCTGGTGGGAGACAGGGCAGTAAGGGGCTTGCAGGACTAGGGCCCACCATCGTGTTCGCCAGGGTCACACTGAGGGTTGTAACCTGTGAGCTGCATGCCCTTGGACCTCTGATGGTGGCTGCAGACCCTTCCCCTAGGAGGGCCCATGCTCTCCAAGCTCTGATACCTGTTCAGGATACCAAAGCCCTGCTCAGCACCCACGCCCCTCAAAGTCCGCGCAGTCTGGTGCCTGCAGACTAAGAATCCCATCTGGTCCTTCCTACCTCACATGGCCCCGCAGAGAGCCGCCTTGGTGCTCCAGACCTGTTATCGGAGAGTCTACATCGCGCCTGTACCTGGCTGTGCTCATAGGCACAGCAGGCTGGTGCTTCAGGCCGAGCTCACCATCCTGGTGTTTCTCTCTCCCCACCCCAGACCCTTGTTTTCCAAGGGCAGGAGAGAGCCCTGCCACCCACATAAGCTGCTCAAGCCAGACCCGGACCCTCTTCTCACTTGGAATTCAGGGACACAACCCAATTACCCAGTTCCACTGGGTCTACCTCCCTAAAACTTGGGGTCCGTTTCTGTCCCCACCTCAGGCCAGCCGTTGCCACCTCCCTTCCAGGTGGCTGTAGTGAGCCTGTGCAGGCTCCCCACATGCCTCCACGTCTTTCTACAATCTGTGCCCAACCCCCAGCCACGGTGACATTTTGTGTCACCCTGGCCCCCTATAAAGGTCTGGCGGCTTGCCGTTCTATGGGGCTTTCGTGGCGCTCTGTTTCTGTCACACACACACACACATTTACACCTTCCCTGCTTCTGGTCTCCTCAGCCTTGAGATTCTAATTCTTGTGTCACCTTTTCTTAGAATCCTTCCCTGACCAACTATTTTATTTACACTAAACCTGGTGCTTCCTCATAGCACTCGTCACATTTTTATGCAACCAGATCACCAACATTGAATAATTCACTGATTGTGACATGATCTCCAGCCCCCTCTGGACTATGGGGTGCCTTTAGGCCAGGGACCTTGTCTGCCCTGTCCCTGATGTGCTCAGGGCCAGCTCAGTGTAGAGCAGATGCATGATGGTTGTTTTGTTTTTATTTTGAGACAGGGTCTTGCTATGCAGCCCAGGCAGGGCTCAGACTTGGAATCCTCCTGCCTCTGCTTCCCAGAGTGCTGGGATCCCTGGTGCGTGCCACTGTGCCTGGGTTACATGACAGTTGAGTCAGTGACTGAATGAATGACAGCTGCTTGCTCCTACACTGGTCCCCAGTAAGAGCTGAGCAGGGCACCAGGCAGCTTATGTGCCTATAGGGCTTCTTACATAGCTGACGTGGCCTGCAGTGCCTTGCTACCCACCCCTAGGAGGCAGGCCCTGTTACGGTGCCCCTTTGCGGGCCAGGAAAGTGAGGCACAGAAAGTTGAATGACAGCTGAGATGCAGCAGAGCCCAAACTAGAACCAAAGTCGCATGTGATTGCACTAGAGCTTGTCACACTTGATGTGCACACAGCTGACACGGGGACCTTGTTAGAAAGAAGGTTCTTAAGCACCAGGCTGGAGTGAGGGAGCTGAGGGGCAGTGCTTCTAGAAGGCTCCCTGTGGTGCATGGGGTGCTGCTGGCCCAGGGTCTCTGAATAACAAGGCCACGTGGTTGTGTAACCCTTACAGCTGTGGGGCATCTTGCGCTGGGCTCAGGGTTTTATTGTTGTTGTTGTTTTGGTTTGTTTTTTAACACTTCCTGCCAATTAGAAGTCACTTCCTTGACCTTCTCTTCAGTGAAGATTTATTGCCCTATTCCAGACCCAGCCAGTGGGCCCCAGTGGAGCCCCCCTACCCGTGCACCTCTCTGTGGTCTGTGTCCCATTGAGGACACCGTGTGCGTGAGAATTGATGCGGGGGGAGGGGCTTGGGTGCTGCAGCCACTAAGGGACCCTGCTAGTGCTCGCACAACCCATGCTGAGTCCTCCAGGGGCTCCCTGGCTCTTCCACCTCTGCTGTGACCCAGATCAGACAGAACTGGGAGGAGTCGGGGTGCAGGGCTGACGGCAGCTTGCTGCTCCCAGTTCTCCTCATCTCCCCGACCCTCCCAGGGTCTTCCTGGGAAATGATTCCTGTAGGATGACAGGGGAGGTAGTAGCTGGGAGCAAGCCCACAGTCTGTGACCTCAGAAGCCCAGCAGGGCTGGGAAATCCAATAGCATCCCACATCATTATATATCTCTAAAGAACTCTCAAAACTAAGCCAAGAAATCTGAATTTTCACTTCTTCTCCTTTTCCCTGGAAACAGGGGGCTTTGGGGGTTATTCGGTGGTTGTGAAACTGTACTTCTCAGCACCGCTGGCATTCTGTAGGGCCACCCAGCCCCTGTGCTGTGGTGGCATGTGAGATCCTGAGGGGTCCCTGCACTCCCATTCACCCGCGCATGTTTGTGTTTATCTCATCTGTTTGTTTGGGCTGCTGGATTAGATTCTCTCTGCAAAGTTGTTTGTGGGGTTTTAAAATAGTCTGCAGATAAACTGCAGGGTGCCTTTGATGCTAAAGGATTAAAAGAGACTCTGAGACTGCACGGTGGGCTTGGGGAGGGAGGGCAAGGAAGTGCATGAGAACATTGCTCGTGGGCACAGCCTTTTCCTCTCTGCTATCTCTTTATCTACCGCCCTAGCCAGGAAATAGACTTTCTTCTCTCTCTGTCACTTGGCCCCCAAGGCCTAGAGAGGGTAAGGGGCTTGGAGGGCTCACAAACCCCAGGCCGGAATCTAGTTTTTGGCTCCAATAAACCATCTTGGTTTTCCACGAAGGCCTGTGACTCTCCTGCTCACATCCAGCTGTCCAAGGTGGCACGGGAAGAGAGCGCATCACAGATGACCAAGGCTAAGCTGCAGCGCTTTGTTAAGAAGACAGGCCCCCTGCCTCTTCTTGTACAATGCAGGTCAGAGATCTGCTCACCACCCGCAAAGCCTCATTGCCACTTCCCTACCACAATGCCCATCTCCCCCTCCACCCCCACATAACCTCAGGGTGCCATTAACCCGCATGGACGGAGTGGCTCTCCTTAGCTTCCATCAAAAGCTGCACATGGCACACAAGCCCGACAGATTTCATTTGCCCCAAGAACCCTTGCAGCTGCAGCATTTACCCCGACAGAACTCCTAGATTACCCCCCTAACCTTACACCCAAAGTTTGCCGTGAAGGATCTCACTTTTATTATTTTAGTACCACTCTACTATACCAATAGTCTTTAGAAACAAAAGACATCATTTTATTCATAGCATTCTGTTTTTAGTAGTGGTATTTCCTTTTACAAAATATAGTAATTTTTTGCTGAAAATTAAATGGACACTGGCAGCAGCTGTACTTCTTTTTTTTTCCTTAAATGGGAAGTGGGTGAAAGCCCTCATTCAGGGGGCCCTTCTCTGGCCCTTGTTATTTGGGAATTTGGTACAGACTATAAAGAGGATGCGTAGGGGCTGTGCCTGGGTCGCTCTTCCTTTCGCACCTAAGATCGGAAGTGAGCAGGAAGTTTCCGGCCCTCTGAACCCCAAAAGCTAGGGCCGTGACACCAAAGGCCCAAACAGTCAAGGATGTTAAGCTCAGAAATAAAGCTCAGCAGGAAGCTAAATTAACATTGTGTCACGGGAGAGCATGGGTTACACACGGTCTGTATCCTGGTGATTAAACATTTCAGCTTTGTTACCCTAACAAGAAATATTCGCTCTTATCATTGTGGGCAGAAGAGCTGTCTATGCGCATAGGAGACTACGTCAATCAGCCAGCATTAAAGAAAACATCAGCGCCGGGATTGTGACTCAATCCTCTCAGGCACGGATCTAAGTAAGCCCAGATGCTAGCATTTAAGCATGCAGTCCTAAGAGCCCCCGCGTGGGAGAGTGTCCCTAAAATTTATGGCACATCTGGATCCCCTTGGGGGAGAGCTCCACAGTCACAGGATGATTCCACGGGATCGGAGTGAGGCCCAGGAAGCTGCATTTTAAAGGGGCTCCCTGTCTGACTCTGCAGCTCGCGTGCTGTTGGCCATACTTGGAGGATTGTTGCAATAGGCAAAGTAGGGCGGCAGATCCCATAGGAAAATACTCCGTTCCTTATGTTGAGGTGGGGGAAATCTAAATACTCAGGAGGCAGGACCACAAGCAGGGAGTGAGTTTGTGGATGGAACACATTCATCTGAATACTTTTAGTGATTGCGCTAAAAAAAGTCAGAAAGGAAACATCAAAGTATTCACAGTAATTCTCACCAAGTAGTGTGGCCATGGGTAACTTTCAGTCCTCCTTTAATCCCTCCACCCCTTCCCCACATTAAACATCCAATCAGCTGGGCTCCTCTTTATTTTCTTACCGTGAACACATTATCACTTAGTATTGGAGAAGAAAGTGCATTTTTGAAGAGAGAGCCATGTAGGCCAAGGATTCAAAGGCATGAGTTTGAATTCTTCCTCTCAGTGAATGAATGACCTTGAAAGACCTCTGTTCTCTATGCTGTGGGGTTAGATGAGCTGCGTCCTGAGCTTCCTCCAGGTGGCAGGGATGGTGGCACACGCAGGGATTCTCAGATCCTGGGGCTGAAACATCCAGACTCCCCTTCTGCTTTGAGCTGGAGGGGCCTTCTGTGACTAAGAGGCCAGTCCCCACCAGCAGCCTGGTCTTATTTGCCTGTCGGGGGTCTCCACCCATGCCCACATTAGGTGCTTGATTAGCTGGACGCTGTAAGTAGCTGTTACCCGCTTGTTATGCCTTCCCCTGCCCATTAACTTTTGATGACCGCTCACATCCAGAAAGCATCCCTCACCGGGCCGAGTGCGGACAACTCAGGGAAGCCAGGTGGGCAGCTCTCCTTCCGCCTGATGTTTCCAGAGACACCAGAAAGAAACATGCACCCTCTTCTGGCCACAATGGGTGACCTCTGGCGGTGGTGGGAAGTGGGCTCCCAACTGGTCTGACACTGCTTCCAAACGGAGGTCGACAGGCTGGCCATGCATTCAACACATACATGTGGACCG